ATACAAATTAAAGAAATGTATATTTTAATAAAAATATATTACCTGCCAAGCTAAAGCTAAGTGTTTCCCAAACTCGTAACCCTTTTCCTCTATTTCTTTGTTATGACCAGCTATTTTTAATGTACATTGGCAACTTTTCCCGAGCAACGATCCAGCACCATAAGTGTTTAAAAGCGTCCATTCCTTTAGTGCATAGTCCGTGCGATGTTCAGGTGGTATTAACGGTATAGGAAAATTTTGATTGTCTCTACGTGCTACAAATTCTGCTTGACATAAATCTCTTAGTGCCTCCGATATTAGTAATGTAATCTGAAAATATCATTTTTAAATTACAATTACTTTTTTTAATTTAAAAAATAATATTTCTTTTTTTTGTAATAAATTACAATGACAAACAGCTAAAAAATAGCACGTATATGTACTTACAGCCTGATTTTTTAGAACTGCCAATTCAGTTAAACAAATTTGAAGCAAGTAATCTCCACATAACAATGCTAGTTTATTACCGAAAGTTATATTATCCAATTCTGTAGATTCCAGAGACTTTGTATCTACGTTTATGTTTACTAATCCTCTGTGTATCAAATTGCTAGTGCGGATCATTTCTATAATTTCTGCCAGTACTTTTTGACTGAAACATGTTTATTAGGATCTGTTCTTTCTTCTTTAGAAGAATATATTTTTTGTATTTTGTCAGCAGTATTTAAATTGTTATGTACCTGTGTAATATGCCTACAACTTCATCCACTTCTGTCAATTTTGCATTCAAATGGCCAGCAGCTTTGGAGATTAACAGCAAGATGAGACCAAATGTTTGAGTGTTACGTTGAATGATACCATTATGAATAATGGTCCTATTGTAAAAGAAATGCACAAATAAAATTTTCATTTTTAAAAAAGCATTATATTATGATAATTTACTTGGTTGTTTTCAATGCAGGATGATTTGAGCCAACCAGCTTCCTTAAATGCAACGCAACATTAGCAAATTCGTCGTTTGACTGCCAATTTAAATTTAAGGACGGATATCCGACGATCTTCTCTGCTTCGGACATAATTTTATTCCAATCCGTATTTTGATTCACTGCCTTCTTGTTTTCAGATTTATGAATATTATTAAAATAGAATCTGTTTAGTGTAAAAATATATAATACTCTCTGAGCTTGAAAAATCTTGTGTGACTTCCACGGAAACGTAGACACAGAACTGCTTCCTCTCCAAATCCTGAGCACGGCTATGCTCCCAGACATCGTCTAATTTACTTTTGAAACTGCTGTAAATAATTTAAAATTCTAAAATTGGAGAAAAGTATTATATCATTTTATTTAAAAGATTCAAGATTATCCAATATTCACACATCCGGTAAGAAATGATTGCTTAAAAGAGATGACGAATTAAGGTTCCCACTGAGCGCGTCATACGTCGCGTCATCCGTCGCGTCACGAATTAATAAAACAAAACATCTCATTTTATTGCATTATTTGCTGCGCGACTCCTTGCATCGATTAGATTACTCGATTCTAGAGATAAAAGAATCTTCCTTTATGTGAAATCCCGGTTCGCGCGCAGCAAATTACGCAATAAAATGGGTTGTTTTAATTAGTCAATTCGGATGATGCGACGTATGACGCGCTCAGTGAGAACGCATCCTTAATGTTTAAAATGCTTATTGATGTAGAGTAAA